TAGCTCCTGAATCAATCTCGAACGTAATGTCCTGCCCTCTGACATTGACTGTGGCATAAGGTTCAGGTGGTTCCTCATCCGTTTCCACCCCAAACATGTAGGAACACACACCCTCTTCGTCTTGGTGGTGAGTGGTTGCCTGAGCCTTTGAACTTCTGCACTTTTTAGCTAAGTGCCCCTTTTTACTACAAGCATGGCAGACAGCATCTTCAAATTTGCAATCACTTGCAAAGTGTGCCCCCCCACACTGAAAACACTCCACCGTTTGGCATGCTTAACAGTCTCTCTCTTGACTTGGTGCACTGCTGCTGTCAGTGCTCCTCCATTTCCTTTCTGAATGTCTTTGGCATTATTAGCAGCCATCTCCATACCTTGGGAAATCTCCAGGGCTTTCTTGAAAGTCAGTGGTGGGGTTTCCCCCAGCAAGCGGCGCTGTATAGCATCATTATTAATGCCGCACACCAGTCTGTCACGGAGCATATCATCTAACACTGTCCCGAAATCACAATGCTCTGACAGCTGCCGTAACTCAGCTACAAAGTTGGCTACAGATTGACCTTGCTTCCTGAAATGGCTGTGAAACTTGAATCGTTGGACTATCACAGAAGGTTTTGGATTATGGTGGTTCGCCACGAGCCTGACCAGTTCATCATATGGGATATCCCCCGGTTTCCGCAGTGTGGCCAAGTTTCTTATCAGCTTATGAGTCTTTGCTCCACACGCACTCAGGAGAATAGAGCGCTTTTTAGCCTCCTCAGTAATCTCATTAACAGAGAAAAAGTGTCCCAACCTTTCTTCATTCTCCGTCCAGTCCTTGTTTCCTTCCACAAATTCACCGATAGTCCCGTATGTGGCCATCCTAGCATGAGGCTCCCCGTCCCCACGCAGCTCCTCCACAGCCACAAGTGCTTCTCTCTCCTCCTCGAGCTGCTCCACAAGCTGCTCCTCTGCAGCCGCCGACACTCTGCCTGCCGTCCTTGCACTGCACCTCTGCAACGGATTGTGTCTCCCCTCCAGGCACTGTCCTGTCCGCGGGCCACTCGTAACAGCTGCCTAGCCAGCTAACTAGCACACTTTAGCCTAGCTCAGCTAAAAAAAAAAAAAATTCACCTCGTCGCCAAAAATATGTGGTAACTTCAGCTGGAAAAGAACTACTCGACAATTCATTTCAATTCAATTCAGTTTTATTTGTATAGCACCAATTCATAACAGAAGTTATCTCAGGACACTTTTCAAATAGAGCAGGTCTAGACCGAACTCTTTATAACATTATCTACAGAGACCCAACAGTACCACCATGAGCAAGACCTTGGAGACAAGGGCAAGGAAAAACTGCCTGTTAAAAGGCAGAAACCTAGAACAGATCCTCCCCACAATGTCTTGGCTGTAGTTGCACTTTATATAAGGATGGCAAAATGAACATTACATCTAGAGCTCATCTGTAACATCTCTGTCAGCTGGAGGTCAAGCATACAACAACGCCAGGGGCGGGAGTGTCCTTCAAAATAAATGCAACATATGCAACATCGACCCCTCGTGGGTACATGGCTCTTGTGCTCTTATTCTGAAAAAGATTAACTTAATAATATTCACATTACAACAGTCTCCATAACATTTTTGTGACATGACAAACTGACCTCAACTCTCCTGCCTACAATATATTTGTGTATGATTGTCAGTGCCAAGGGAAAGAGAGAAAGATGGAGATGGAGAAGGAGAAAGGGAAAGGGAGAGCATGCAGGAAGAACCAGGTGAGAAAACAACAACAATAAATTGACATATAGTGAATAGTGGCAAGCAAAACAGTAACTACTCATACTCCTATACTAACTTATTGGCATTAAGTAGCCTATATTGCATTTACTTTTTGTAACCAGGGGTGCCTTATAGGGGGGAAAAGTTAGGACAATTCCAAGGGCCCATGACTGACAGGGGCCCCAATTAATAGGTAAAAACAAATTTAAAATTATTAAACCATCATCATTCAGTATATATATTTCAAATATAATAATAAAATTAATAATCTTTTTGTTTTTACTTGTTTTTGGCAGTAAAAGTTAAATATCCACATTGACCAAAAAGTAAACATCCATATTGACCGACCACCCCCCTGTATCTGCATGAAATGGTTTGGTCCTGCCTTAGCGCATTTATCAGTGACTGTGTTTATTGCAGTCAGTAGATGAGCCAGAACTACAGTGATCACAATGTTAACTAGTAAATCAACATCTGGTTTTCAAAAAAGGAAAGAGAGAAAAGAGAGAGAGGAAAGACAAAGGAAAGGATATCACTCTGTAACCCAGTGTTTCACCAAGAAAGGAGCCTATAGTCTGTGAGTGGTATTAACCTGTTGGCTTAATGTCCATAGGGAAATAAGATAGCCAGCTACAGACTAGTGTTAGTCTACATTTAATCACCATTAATCAGTTCAGGGAAACGTTTAGCAAGATATTCATATTAAATCATTGTCCCTGTCCCTTTTAGCAGACTTAACAACAGATGAGTCAGCAGCACCCAGTCTCCCCATCACTGTACCCCTCCCTGTCCCAGTGAAGAAGGTGAGCAACGTTGTGTTCAATGACAGGCCAGTTAGCATCATTGTTTTGAGAGGATGATGTTAATTTATTTTGATTGAAAAGTTAATATATATTTTAGTTTATTCGTTTTTCTTTTTTTAAATCTTTCATTAACAATTATAATAATAATTAATAATAATAATGAATTTCATTAAGGGAAGTTGAAATTTTACAATAAAAATTAAAAAAATACATTGAGACTGTAAAAGTTGGCCTTTAGCACCTTTTTTATGGTTGCTTTTAATCTTTCATCAAATAGTGAACTGCATACTGTCTGCAGACTGCATGCATGTACAAATCACCAGCAGTAAATATTGTGCTAGTACTCGTATTGAACTACAAGAAGCAGTTGCAAGCCTTTAATTAGAGTTATGTAAAGCTTTTGATGGGACAGTTAGGTCCTAGAGATGTGGTGACAACAGCTGCGCAGAGGGGGCCCAATTTGATTTTTTTGTCATGGGGCCCAGAATTCCTGGCGGCGCCCCTGTTTGTAACATATTATTTTACACCACATTTTTTCATATTAAAGGAGGAGGAGAAGAACAGGGAGAGTCCATAAGGGATGAGAGGGAATCGACTAGTGAAAGGAATGAAGAGACAGAGCGAGTGCAACATAGAGACCACCAAGCCAAAGCAGCAGGGACAGAAGAGAGCTGTTCAGACTTAGGGGATAAGGACACTGGTCCTAAACAGTTAAAGCTGTCTCAATACCCTCATACTCAGTTTGACACACAATGAAGAGCCTTTCAATGTTCAATGACAATGAAGTTGAATCTAATCTAATCTAATCTAATCTAATGACTGTTGATACAAAAGGAGGCACATGGAGTTAACGGTCAGGAAAACCAGCTGAGTGAGGAAGGTTTTGTGTTTGTTACAGTTACTGTCTGTGTGAACTGTCACAATAGAGCTGGTGGTTTGTTTTTGTGTGAAAAAAGGGTGGGGGGTGGCATTGGGGCTCATTGCTAAAGCTCTGACCCTAGAATCGCCCCTGGTGTCCAGTATACTGCAGTCCAACCAGTTACCAGTTTAGTTCCTCCTTTGTTTCCCTTAAATTCAAATTCAAACAAATCTGACTGTGTACAGCAGCCTATAAATAACATGCAAAAGACAGATGGGTTTTGAATAACAAAAATGAGGTGAACAAAGAAGAATGTAAAAGAGAATCAGCATGAAATGGGTGCATAAGAAGGTCGTAGTGCTGTTTTAGAGCCGTTATGATGACAGCTGAGATATGCTAAAGAGTTGTGTGTGACAATGTGATTACTGATGGAAAGTCTCCCAGCAGGATAGAGTTATGTAACCCAAGACAGGTTACAGTCAGTTAATGTTAAAAATAAAGACTTTATTCTGCCCTACAAAGACAAACTGCAGTAACTACACTAACAATGAAAATGACTTCAAAGGTTTTTGACCATCCAGCCAAATGTGTTTTAGGTAGAACGGTGGTTATGTTCTTATTAAATATGTGTTCTCTAAGTGCAACAGAGTGCAGTAACTACAGCCTGAGTGACTAAATCTAATTTATTACATTAATACGTATTTCTTATTGTTTCATGTGTAAACAGTAGAAATGGATGAGTAAGAATTTTGTGAGATTAACAATAATATATGAACTATTATCACAATCTGCTCCAATGAGCTCAGCTAATAATCCACAGATGGAGTCGGATTTCGAGGTGGAGAACATGAAGATTCCCTTTGTTTTAATTCCCACATTATCCTGAAATTGTCCAGAATTCAGATTTACAGACACTGAAGCCGCAGTAACTGCAGCCGAAGCTCAGAGACAGCGAGGGAGAGCAGTGACTGCAGTTTGATTATTAGATGGTTTCATTAGTTGGTAGTTATGTATGTACATCACTCAGTCTACACTTCTTTACTCTTACACCAATAAGTATCCTGTTGCTCATAATTATAATATAATATATTCTGATTAGTGTATTGTCAGAAGCTTGTCTGTGTGTATGTTCTGGTCTTTGTCCAGTTGATTTTATAATATGATGTAAATTGTTCTGATGCATTGTCACAATGTAAAGCTGTTTAGCTGCTACAATGCTGTAGCTAATGGGGATCCTAATAAACTAAACTCCATCCATTATTGTCTTATATCAAAGAAGCAAACATTATTTCTGAATCAACTGTGCTCTTCCCCACTAAGGTACTTTTGAAAAGATATGCCAATCTCAGGACTTTTTGTGTAGTTTAAACTTAAACTTGGCAATTAATCAGATATGAATAAAAACACAATAAAAGGGTTGAAAGTATCTGATGCAATATAAAAATAAAAAAGGTAAAACAAACTGTTAAACTGATTCATATCCAGTTTATAAGCTCTGAATATTTTAAATGTTTATTTCCTGTTGATTAGATCTGTTGTTCTGATGTCATTTCTGTATTTGTGTCTGTCTATCTCTTCCTTAGAAGAACAGGTGTAGATTATTATCTGCTGCATGTTATCATAAATACTGTAGACTATTTGGATGCAGAGGAAAACACATCAGACGGTGAAGGGAACTCATTCAGGTTGGGTCTCGAGACTTTCAAAGGTAAGTTTAGTCTCATTACTTTTTCTTATATGTAGCAATAATGAAATGATTAAAAAGGATCAAATAACTGCAAACAGGGACCAGCAGCTAGAACATCTTGACAATGTTGTTTACATATTATTATTATTATTATTGTTATTATTATTATTATTATTATTATTATTATTATTATTATTATTATTATTATTCTGTTGTTACCACAGTAAAAATGTCCCAATTAAGATGTTTTGCCCCTGGTCACCATTTAATATCGGCTGAGTCCTGATCAACATTTATATTTTCATTAATAATAAAGGTTAATAAATTGCCTGCAACCAAGCTTTAAAAGTGTCCTACAGAGTTTGTTGCTTCAGTGCAGCCTTTACCTGAGTTACCTGAATGAACTGTTTTCTGCTGAGTGTTTATTTTCCTCGTCTGAACATCTTTTCCTCAGATCACATGAATAATTTACTCTTACTTGCTTTTTGTTTGTGGGGCTTTTGTTGCACTTGCAGTTGTGTGGTGAGTGTGCGGCTCTCCATCGCTCTCTGTCTCATCCTCTGACCAGGAGTTCAGCCCCACCTGCAGTGTTTCACTGTGGGCGGGGCTGAGCTCCTGTAAAAGCTGCACTCGTCACTGTCTTCTACATGTTCATCTTCTTCCTGTTTAACACAGAGTAGAATATTTGTAGGTGTATATGCTGCACCATCCAGTACCATCAAGTTTTCAAACAGTGGCATCGACTTGATACGAAGTATCTGTTGTTGTGGCATCCCTAGTTCTGACCCAACATTAATCCACTGAGAGGTATTATAGTGACGTTATTGATGAAACGTCTCCCAGCAGAACAGAGTTATGTAACCACAGACATATTATAGTCAGTTAATGATATTGTAGTTGACAGGAGACAGTACAGACAGGACATGAGGACACAGAGATGTAGATGACATGCAGCAAAGGTCCCTGAAACATTTTTATTATAAAATGTTGGTTTATTCCAAAATGTCATCAGAATAAAAGTCTAAGCTAAAATCAGAGCAGAGGGTTGTTCAACCAGTGGTCGGGCGTCGAGTACAGAAGACAGATAAAATGTCTTCAACCAATGGACAAGAACATTAAACATTACATTTAATTGTGCGTATACTACAGGTAAACTGTCTTTGTGTGAACTTGCACCTCACAGCTTTACTGATATCACTGAACAGGGTCAGGTATTAAAACTGTCTCTGTTTCTTTAACCTGATCTCTCAAACAGGTTTCACTCTGAACAATGGAAGATTTCTACATTAACAACACATCACAGGACAACAGCTACTATTACAGCAACACCACCATCAACAAAGATAACTATGACCATCACGTTAATCAAAGGTTCATCCTACAAGTGGCAACATACATAATCTCTGGTATCGGCCTTCCTTTGACCCTGGTTGCCATCTATACCCTGTATTCTGAGGTATGTACATTATATCAGTCTGTCAGTCTGTCTGTCAGTCTGTCTGTCTGTCTGTCTGTAAAGGATGTTGATCTTGGGGGGCTAGGCGTCAGGGGGCTGGGACGAAGTGTTGTAATGAATGAATGAATTTACAGGAATAATTGATCACAGAATTAAAAGTTACATTATAATATATAATATATATATATTAGGGATGCTCGATATTGGCTTTTCTGCCGATATCCGATATTCCGATATTGTCCAACTCTCAATGTCCGATACCGATATCACCCGATACCGATATCACCCGATACCGATATCACCCGATACCGATATCACCCGATACCGATATCACCCGATACCGATATCACCCGATACCGATATCACCCGATACCGATATCACCTGATACCGATACCTGCAGGCTTTTTACACCAAAACTGTAACAACATAACAACATAACAACATAACAAATCTCCTGTTGTGGAATTAACACATTGTGACTCATTTTATGGCGATGCCCCACTGGATGAATACATAAATGCAACATTTCCAAATGTAAACACTGTCTGTGCAAAATAAGAGAACAACTTTAACTTTCATTGTATTAATACTGAAAGGAGCGCTAACGCTAATCACTAGCTTTGGTTAATGTGTTTAATTGTATTATTCACCTGAAGGAGTGCTAATGTAAATTAAAGAACAGCTCAGAGCAGGGTCAAATATTTAAGGTGTATTGAACTTATTTTGTGTTAATATTAAAATCATTCAGCTTTAAATTGTTTGTTTGTTAGCCACCGTTAGCAACCAACCAGTCTAGTTGTTGTTGTTGTTGTTGTTATTCGTCATCTAGTGCGCCGGTAAACGTCCCACGCTGCGTTCATGCAGGCTCGGAAATGCTGAAGCCTACAGAACAAACATCGGTTATAAAAACCCGATACCGATAATTCCCAATATTACATTTTTTAATGAATATCGGACGATATTATCGGACATCACTAATTATTATTATATATTATATCATTTAAATTCAAATCTCACTCACACACACACTCACACTCACACTCACACTCACACACTCACACACACACACACACACACACTCACACTCACACTCACATACACACACACACACATACACACACACACACACACACACTCACACACACACACACACAGTTTGTTTACCTTTATCAATATTTTCCTGCAGGTGAAGAACGATCATGTTGCTCCGATCTACGTCATCAACCTTCTCCTTTCTGACCTCATTCAGTTCTGCTGCTCCACTGTTGCTGAGGCGTTAACATATTATTATCAGCTGGGACTCGTATCATTCATCTTCTCTATCATGTACTTCTGCAGTCTGTTGGTCAGCGTGTGCTTCATGGTGTGTATCGCCCTGGAAAGGTAACTATCTGTCTCATATGTACTTCAGTGTCTGACCATTATACCACTGTATGATTCTGAAGACCCTCAAAGACCATGTCTCCATCTTCTATTACAGGTTTTTGGTCATTGTCTGTCCACTGTGGTACCGCTGCAGACGATCCATAAAGAGCTCTGTGCTGATCTGTGTCCTGGTCTGGGTTGTTCCTTCTGTCCTTTACTTATTAACAGAATATTTATATTACATCGCCTTCTGGGTCATCTCCACCCTCCTCCTCCTTCCCTTCCCACTGTTCATATTCTTCCTTGTTGGGGTCCTGAAAGCTCTGTCTGCTTCCATCTCCGTCCCCTCTGATGAAAAACGACGAATTGTGGGAATTTTGGTTCTGGTGCTGCTTATTTACACACTGCTGTTCCTGCCATCCATTATTGGGATGCTCTTAGAGACATATAACGAAACCCTCAACATCCTGAGTTTGATGTTTCTTAGGTTGAGTCCTCTTGCAGACTTGGTTCTGTATATTTTCATGAGGAAGGGGATCATAGAAAAGATTTTGGCCTCTGTGTGTTGTTGCAGAAAGGACAGCAATGATATCAGCAGTTCATCAGTGTGAGAGAGAGAGAGACAGAGACACACAGAGAGAGAGAGAGAGAGAGAGAGAGACAGAGAGAGAGAGAGAGAGAGAGAGAGAGAGAGAGAGAGAGAGAGAGAGAGAGAGAGAGAGAGAGAGAGAGAGAGAGAGACAGAGAGAGAGAGAGAGAGAGACAGAGAGAGAGACAGAGACAGAGAGAGAGAGAGAGAGACAGAGAGAGAGAGACACAGAGACAGAGAAAGAGAGAGAGAGACACAGAGAGAGAGAGAGAGAGACACAGAGAGAGAGAGAGAGAGAGAGAGAGGGAGGGAGAGAGAGAGAGAGAGAGAGAGAGAGAGAGAGAGAGAGAGACAGGGAGGGAGAGACAGAGAGAGACAGACACAGAGAGAGAGAGAGAGACAGGGAGGGAGAGAGAGAGAATGAGAGAGAGAGTCTTATTCTTCAATCTTTATGGTTTGTTTAACACAGAGAACATCTGAACAGATCTTTAGGACTTCTTTCTCTTTGACCTCTCATACACATTTAATTTAGTTAGAACTAATGTTTGTTTATCCAAAACTGTCTGTTTCCAGTTTTGTTCAATCTTTTGTAAAAATGACAAACCAAACTACATATTATTTGTTATCTTCTTATCTAAAAAGATAATTATTATTATAATTATCTAAAATGCACAATTTCTGACTGGAGTTTGGTCTACAAGACGTTTGTCCTTCAACGTCTGTCCTCCTTCGCTGGAGCATTCAGGTGTAAACAGGTGAGAAGAAAATGTAGAGTTTAGTTGTTAAATTTGATTAATTATTTATCAATTAATTATTACAACAACAACAACAACCGGAGGAACTTCTTTTAAAGTCGTTTTAATAAAATCTGACAGAACATTAGAAAACACATTTTGGAGACAGTGTAGTCTCAGATTTCAGTCTGTTTGACGGCGTTCAAATGTCCCACACTCTGATCGACCCCCAAACGCCCCTCAGTCTTGTCCTTTCTTCCTCTTCTTCTTGCTCTTCTTCTTTTTCTGCAGCTCCTCCTCCTCTTCCTCTGTAGTTTTCCTCTTTGGTTTCTCCTCCACCCGCTCCATCGTGTCCCACACCTCATCCTCGCCTCCCTCCTCTTCCTCCTTCACCTCCTGGGACCCGCCCTCCCCCGCCGCCCCCCGTCCGTCCTCCAGGTCTCTGCTGGCGAGCAGGACGCAGTTGAGGCGGGACTTGAGGTAGACTTTGTGCAGCAGCGTGCGGTCCTCCAGGCTGTGGATGCGGAGGAATCGGTCCAGGCCGCAGGACGCCACCACGGGCAGGGTGGGGTGACACTGCAGCCCCCGCACGCCCCCCGCCAGCCCCTTCAGGCAGCCGCGGACCACACCTTTCCTCAGGTCCAGCAGGGCGATCTGACCGTGGGTGTTTCCCACCACCACCGTGCTGCCGCCGGCGGGCAGAGACAGAGCGGTGAGCGGGTACTCGCCGTACTCCACCTCCAGGACGGGACGCCGCTGAGGGGACGAAGGGTCGAACACGTGGACCTGAAGGAGGAGAACATCGTTAAATAAATAAATATATATATTTATAGTGTGTGTGAGCAGATATGTTTATTGATCTTTATTCAAGGGATGAAAACTTTATTGTGAAATAAACGTTAAAATGAGCAGTTTCTGAATGGAGTCTGGTCTATGAGAACGGATGTTGACTGTCAGTCCTGTGTTCTGATGGTGGGACGACCCTTTTGTTTACGTTGTTATTTACGTAATGTCCCTTTATTATTGATCTATTGACAGCCGAACTGTAGAGTTCCTGCTGTTATTGATCCCCACTGAAGGAATATTCAAATCAAATCAAGTTTATTTGTATAGCCCTTTACAATAGCCGAAAGGTACCCAAAGTGCTTTACAACAAAGCCATGAAACAATACATAACACATATATAACATACAAATACAATTTAAAGTGCTGCAGCACTGCAGGGTATTAAAAGCCTTCCAGAAATGCACAGAGAGGAGCAGACAGAAAGAGTACACCTAAGAGACAGTACTGTCCTATTCAGAATTAAAAGCTAATCTAAAAAAGTGGGTCTTAAGCTTCGATTTAAAAAGGCCGAGATCAGTAGTGGTGCGAATGTCAGGGGGCAGTTTGTTCCACAGTCTAGGAGCAGCGACGGCAAAAGAACGATGGCCCCACTGTTTAAGTCTGGACCTAGGGACCTCTAACAGAAGCTGACCCGAAGAGCGCCGGGCTCTGCCACAATTGCGAAAAGTTAAAATCTCTGACCAGTAAGAGGGGGCCGAGCCGTTAATGGTGTTAAAAACAAACAACAAAAGTTTAAAATCAATTCTAAAACGGACTGGAAGCCAGTGGAGTGACGACAGCACAGGAGTAATATGTTCGCGTCTGGACGTGCTAGTTAAAAATCAGGCAGCAGCGTTCTGCACAAGTTGGAGACGAGAAATTGAGGACTGACTGAGGCCGACGTAAAGGGCATTACAGTAGTCCAGTCTTGAGCTGATGAAAGCATGGATTGCCTTCTCAAGATCCTGCCGACTGAGAAAAGACTTCACTTTGGCCAAAAGACGGAGCTGAAAAAAGCTCGTACTGACAACAGAGCTAATCTGTTTGTCAAATTTGAGCCCAGTATCAAATGTTACCCCAAGATTTTTGACATGTGATTTAAAAAGAGGGGCCAGAGTGCCAGAATTTGTGGTGAGAGCATTCGACTTAGCTGGTGAACCAAACAAAATGCATTCAGTTTGTCATTTCAGTGCAAAAAGTTCTGTGACAGCCACTGTTTTATATCTGTGATGCAGTCCAGCAGTTTAGTAAGTGCAGTGTTTTCGTTTGGGCAAATATATCTGCAAGTCATCGGCATAAAAGTGAAAAGACAGGTTGTGTTTTTTTATAATTGATCCCAGAGGTAGCATATACAATGAAAACAGAATAGGGCCGAGAATAGATCCCTGTGGCACCCCACAGGGCAGCGATGCATTTGAGGAGCAGTGGTCACCAATCGAGACAGAGAAACTCCTGTTTGCCAGGTATGACCTAAACCACTGGAGAAGGCAGCTGGAACAGACCCTGAGCTGAGACTAGCAGACCTGACCCAACAGAACTCAGAACCTCCTTCAAAACCTTGGCTGGAATAATATAATAATATATTAACTATGGATGAGGTCAAAGTGCCGTAACCGTTAAAATGAGCAGTTTCTGAATGGAGTCTGGCTCACGTGTTCATTCCAGGTGTAAACAAACTCACCTGATGGTAACCTGTGCACGTGACCACTTTGTCGGAGTCCGGGATGAAGGCCAGGTCTCTGACCCAGTGCGGCCGCCGTAGGTCCAGCCAGTCGTCCCGCAGGTTCTTGGCGGTGAACAGGGGCGCGTCCGGTTTCTGCAGGTCCCAGATCTTCAGCCCGTTGTCCTTCCCGCCGGTGGCGACCCGGTCCCGGTGTACCGGACTCTGCCGCATCCTGCACACGTTGTTCCCCGCGCTCAGCTCCAGCGCGGGCTCGCTGCTGTCCTCCCTCCAGACCCGCAGCGTCCCGCACTCCCCGCAGGTGACCAGTGCGGCCCCGCAGAGCGCCAGCCCGGTGAAGCCTCCGTCCGCCGGCCCCCCGCAGCGCCGGCTGTCGGTGAACTGACCCTTCTCGGTGCTGAAGGTCTTCACGGTTCCGTCCACGGAGCCCACCAGAACCTCGCTCTCCGCCGGGTCCCCCCAGCACAGCGCGCGGACCTCCTGGTCCCGGCTCAGGTGGCTCGTGTTGCAGAAGTTGAAGGCCTGTTTCCGGGTCACACTGACCCCCTTCAGGATGCCGGTCTCCGAACCGAGCCACACGGTGCACAGCCGGCTCCGGTCCGCCATCGCTCCGGGTCCACAACCACACACACAGCACCGGGTATCACCGGGTATCACCGGGTATCACAGGGTAGCTCCGGGTCCGGGTCCGGGTATCACTGGGTATCACAGGCTCCGGGTCCGGGTATCACAGGCTCCGGGTCCGGGTATCACAGGCTCCGGGTCCGGGTCGTGGAAACACACGTGTTTGTCTGTCGACTGCGGCGCGTGGTAAAGACGTCACTGCGTGGTTTTAAATGAACTTTATTGAACCCGGAAGCTCGACAGTTCCGTTTTTTATTAGAAACTTTATTTAGTCAACAAATCCATACATCAGCACCGCGGTCCATTTGTCTCGTGAACTCGGAACCAGAGTTGGTCTGCTGCGACAACGTGACGTCATCACCCGTCTCTACCACTGATAGAGATCCAGTTGTGTTTGGGTCAGAGAGAAGATGGACGCCTCCAGTGCAGCAGCAACGAGCTCTTCTACACAAACACAACAAGTCTCACACTTCAACAATATTTTGCCATTTTCGCCTGTTTCAATTTCAACAAGTGCTGTGGCGTTTGTCTCGAGCCTCCAGGAGCCACCAGGAGCCACCAGGAGCCACCAGGAGCCTCCAGGAGCCACCAGAGGCCACCAGGAGCCTCCAGGAGCCACCAGGAGCCTCCAGGAGCCACCAGAGGCCACCAGGGGCCACCAGGAGCCACCAGGAGCCACCAGGGCCACCAGGGGCCACCAGGAGCCACCAGGGGCCTCCAGGAGCCACCAGGAGCCACCAGGAGCCACCAGAGGCCACCAGGAGCCTCCAGGAGCCACCAGGAGCCTCCAGGAGCCACCAGAGGCCTCCAGGAGCCTCCAGGAGCCACCAGGAGCCACCAGGAGCCACCAGAGGCCACCAGGAGCCTCCAGGAGCCACCAGGAGCCTCCAGGAGCCACCAGAGGCCTCCAGGAGCCACCAGGAGCCACCAGAGGCCTCCAGTGGCAGGCTAGTGTTATTGTTAGCTACATTAGCCTAGCAGCTCAGAAACGAACCTGTACATTGAACAGTGACACAGAGACTGAAGCAGCAATGGAAACAGTGGAGGAGAAATACAGTCCACATTAAAACCACCAACGGAGAACAAAGACAAAGAACATACAGCTCAATGTGGACACTGCCATCTTTGTTTTGTGGGTCGTACTTGCCCCCCCCGTCCAGCTCGGGGAACCCTGAGGAACCCTGAGGAACCCTGAGGAACCCTGAGGAACCCCGAGGAACCCCGAGGAACCCCGAGCTGGACGGCTGAAATTACAACCAAAAGGGGGCGTGTCTGTGAAATCTGGCGAGATAGCTGCGAGATTTACACTTTCCAACTCGGGTTCAGAGTTCAGAGACAAATAGAAAGCAGCATTACAGCAATACACAAACATACATTCAGATTAATAGCTTTCATGTTGATGGATTTTAATAGATTTAATATAATATAATATATATAATATATATAATATAGAGGTTTTTGATTAGTGTAACGACATTTATGAATATGCCATGTGGCTAACAGTATAATAAGATTGATGTTGATGTTGATTGGTTGTCAGTGAAGCTTTATATGTTCAAAGGGAAAAATGAGTTTCAATCGAAAAAGAAATCAGGTTGCAAATATCTTCCCATAATCTGGTTGAGAAAGAACAAGACCAAAATAAATGAAACATCTTCAGGGAGTCCTACACAGAGAGAGCACTTTAAATCTATATCTTTATTAATCGTATGTATGTAATGGGTAAATTCTGTGAATTATTTTAAAAGATACTTCTTTTACCTTATTATTAATTATATATCTAGCAGGTAGAGATCTTTTTCCAGTTAAGGTTATTAATAAAGTTGTTCCAATAAGTTATTACATGTGGAGTTGATACGACTTCTTTCTGAAATAAAGAGCGTATATTACGGTTACTATTGCGTGTTGAGGAGAAACTAATTTGGCCGATTTCAAGTTTGGTTGGATCAAAAGGCAATAATGATAATTTAAATAACAGTTACTCCAGGAGGAATCACATTTATAACAATATTAAATTCACTAGTAGGAATAGGGATTCTATATTTTAGGATAAATTCCTGATATGTAAGTAATGATCTGTTTGAGTTAAATAACTGAAGAACTAAGAGTATATTGTGAATAAACCAATAGGGGTAAAATAAGGATTTGTTTCTATATATGATGTCTTTATTGTTCCATATGTAGTATCTATGTGGGGAAAAATTGTGTTTATAGGGAATTGTTTTAGCCAATTAATTCTGAATGTATTATTCAAAGTGTGAAAGACCACCCTTATCATATGAATTCATTATTACTGACTTTTTAATGTAATGGTTTTTGTTTCGCCATACAAAGTTAAATAGCATCTTATCAAAGTTTTTGGAGACCTTTTTATTAACATCAAGAGATAAAGCAGCATATGTAAGACGGATAGTCCCTCAGCTTTGGTTAGCAAAATTCTGCCTCTCAATGACAAATCTCTCTGTAGCCATTGATTCAGTTTTTTCTGGGTTTTATCAATAATTAAGTTAAAGTTTAAATCACGTCTGGCTTCCTTATCTTTAGTAATGACAATACCTAAGTAAGTAATAGAGTCTTTTAAAAGGTATATTACATATGGAAGGGGATTACAAAATTTAAGAGCAAGCAATTCACATTTCTTTACATTCCACCAAAGTCCGGAAGCAATAGAGAAAGTACTTATCAAGTCAAAGGCTAAAGGTATCTGAGAGCTATCCTTTAAGAATAACTGGCTGATGATAACTTCGTTGCCCGCCATTGAGATACCTTTTAATGGACTGAGCTTTATAGAGTCGGTGAGTAGCTGCGTACATAAGAGAAAAAGGTAAGGAGATATAGGGCATCCCTGCCTGACCCCGCGTTTGAGGAAGAAACGAGGAGAAGTGCCAGCATGCAATTTGATTGAGCAGTTTCCATTCGTATACATTGTTTTGACTACTGCTGAAGTCTGAACCAAAACCAAAGTTTTCTATCAATAAATCAATCAATAAACAAACAAACAAATAAACAAACAAGTAGGTAAATACATGACTAAACAATAATAAAAAATAAAGAAATAAAGTAAATAGATATTTTATTTTTTAAGTCAAAATAAAATTTAATTTACTTTTAACTATTATTAATAAATATTCATTGATAATAATTCCTCCAGAAATAAACAATATCACATTAATTAGCTCATTATTTCAGAATATTTCCATTTTATGTTTCATTCAAACAAACAGATCTTTATAAACTTTAATATATTTATTAAATAATAAAATTAAACTTGAATATATTTATTAAATAATAAAATTAAACTTTAATATATTAATTAAATAATAAAATTAAACTTTAATATATTAATTAAATAATAAAATCAAACTTTAATATATTAAATAATAAAATTAAACTTTAATATATTAATTAAATAATAAAATCAAACTTTAATATATTTCCTGTCTGCTGTTTGTTTTGTGTTTAATGTTTTTTTTATTCATAGTTTTGTCGTCAGTATTTTATAGTGAAAACACACAGATATATTATATTATATTATTATATATTATTTTATATATATATTATGTATATATATATATAATAATATTCAACATTTAAATCAGCGAAGCACCATCAATATAAATACATATATAATTGTCTTTGAGGATTTCACAGAATTATATTTATTCATTAAATAAATTAATGTATTCGATGTATAAAGCAGACCTCTAGGACTGCCTTCTTTCATTTACTTGGCTACTTGTGGTTCCTTTAGTCTCTAAAAGTAGAACAACTTATTTAAATGGTGAATATTCCTTCCCCTCTAAGAACAGACGGAGATAACAGAGGTTTTGTGGCAAAAAGAGCACATAGTTAAATATAAACATACATTAATTACTTTTGTCTTCACACCTCTTTTTTGTTTCAGTTGTGGGATTTTGAGGCTCCTCAATGAGCATAAATTGTTATTTGTAACTTGGACACCTGGACAAAGCCATATACTTTTCATCATGGAAACCTCATTTATGTTCTCTGTTTAAACAACAGTGGTCTTTGGATTCGAGGATTTTAACTCTAATATTTTTTGCAGTTGAAAGTTCAGATATAGATGGTGAGTTAAATGGCTTTTATTATTACAATGTTGTTTTTCATACTTTAATTCATCAGCAGTAGTTTCACTAAAGTTAGTAGCTTTACTGAGATTGGTAATCAATCACAGTAAATAGTTAGTGATGGTTTTCTATGTGAATTAAATTATTGTCCCTGGTGATACAGTTGTGAGCAAGACTTTTTAATTCTGCTTACAGTTTTTATCTGTGAAATTTAAGAGTTAGCAGTCAGCTGTCAGGTCGGTGGTCATATTTGAATGTCAGCATTTCATATCCATAATACCTGAGATCTCCTTAACTAACAGGCACAAATGTTTGTCTGTTACTGTTGTAGATCAGAGCACAGGATCAAACCTGGTTAAAAGGCACCCACAGAAGAAAAGTGAACAAAAGAAGAAGGCAGTGAAAGAAACAGGTAAGTTCTATAATAATTCAAAGCTACTGTTAGGTGTTCTCTGTGACTGTGTGCCAGCTTCATCTTGGTTTATGTATTTAATGTTACAGAATCTATATTGTCTTCTTTGTCTGTAGAGGCACCCAAAGTTGAAGAGGAGTGAAGCAGAGAGGACTGCTGTCAACAAACAGGTTCATAGCACAGCTCCGAGTTCCAGGTAAAGAGGACTGTGTCTAATATCACAAGAGAGAGAATCCTTGGATCAAAGGTCTACTTCTATTTTTCTACTTTTAATTTCTGGTTGAGCCAATAAGTGGCATGTTAGTGTTCTGATGTCGATTGGTTAAAAGTGGTGGAATATAACTAAGCACATATGCTCAAGTACTGTTCTTGCAGATATAATTTAATCTAAATTTAACTAGCTTCTTTTCTTTTTTAAAGAAATTGAAGTGGAAACTGGGATCAAGGAGCCACCTACTGTTGAAATATTGCATTTGTTTGTCTCTGAGTATAGCTAGCAGAAAGTGTGGTCCTCACTCCCTCACTGTGGTACTCATAAAGGAATGTCTGTGTGTGTTTGTGTGTGTCTGTTTGTGTGTTTTCTCATCAGGAAACTGTTTACTGAGCTCATTCTCCATTAGA